TAAGGTGAAAAATGTCAGTCAACATGAGAGATAATTAAAACCCTGGTGACTAGCTTAAGTATAGATATCAATGAATACCAGCAATTGACAAGTTCAAATTCCATGGACAATGCAGAAAAACAAAATAAATATATCAATAGCTCAATCAAAATTGATGTCAAACACACAAAACATGAAAAAGGACATCAGTTATGGTAAAAGAAATATTTAAAGAAGTTAAACATAAAAGCAACAATTTGGTATTAAACATGAATCCCAAGAAAAGTTGAACTTGTACACGTATGTTCCATTAGATTGTATTTGGACAGAAAACATACTTTCAGTCATGTTAAATTTACAGATACATGTAATCATAAAGTATTGCCATTTCAATTATCAAAATAAGACACAGATGAGACTTCTATCATTGTCTATGCTTATATATTTTTCTTCCGTAAAGTTCCATTACACATATTGCCTTTTTGCAAACCACTCAAACTTTATATACTGTAAATTCAGAAATAATGGAATGCGAATAATGTGACTAGGTTAGTATCGCAATAAAAAGAACTTGCATTCTTATAACTGAAACATACACATTTATGCAGAATTATTTGAAATCACAATAAATAAACATTTTTTTGTAAAATTGAGAATGGAAGTTGGGGAATATGCACGTCAAAGAGACAACCCAACCAAAGAGCAGATAACAGCCAAGGCATCCATTCTTGAATAATTGCAATAATAAATGCATGCAAAAATTTCAGTATTTACAGTTTTGAAAAATTGCTGGGTATCCTGATTTTACATGTTTTATAAACTGTTTTTATTTTAAATAATAAATCATTTTTTACTAATAAAAAGTTGAAAATTGACATATATATATTATAATTTATAAGTTTATCCAGATTTTTGTAAAGAAGGGTCAACAAGAAATCTGTAAGGAATACATGGTCACACAAAGACTTTAATGCATTTGTCTGTTTTTATATCAAAATTAGGAGATGAAGTATGATCGCCATTGCGACAACTATCCACCAAAGTTCAAATGAAATAGCTGTAGAATTTAGCAATTATACTATAGGCAACTACCACTTTTGACAATGAGAAAATCCATACCGTAAATTGGGCTAAAAATGGCTTAGACATAAAAAAAAAAAAGAATTCAATTGAGAAACTTAACAGCCTAATGTATAATAAAACATATATGACAGACATGAACCAAATTAAAGGAAGCCACTGAACAAATAGTCCCTTTAATACTGTAACACAACAACACAAATTCATTTTCTGTTGTCACAAAATGAAATGCGATGCTTGATAACACAATATACATGATATAGATGAAATGACTATGCGAGTACTGACTGGGACATCAATTTTGAAAATGAATATCCTTGCCTGGTAAGAACTGGAAAAACACAAAATGAAGGAAAAAAAGTGAAAATAATTTTTCACACAGCAACCCTCAGAAAAAAATATGTCTGTGTAGCAACAGATAAAAGGAAACATTCCATTTTCCCCACCCTGAATACCAAATTCTCTTCCATTTAAAATAAAGTGGTTCTCTATACTTTTCAAGACTTCTGTTTGAACTTGTCATACTCATTTCCAAACATATTCTGCAACTGAATATGTCAGACCTGCTTGTTTTCTTTTATTCTTCTGTTATACAATTCTTAATGAATACCATTAGCATAAATTCACAAACCCATAGTTAATAAAGGATTTATATAATTAGAGATCAAGGATTTATATAATAAGAGATCAGTGATTTATATAGCAAGATCTCGCTATACACAAAATAAATAGTCTGATATGAATATAAATCACCTGGGGCTGGAGGAAAGTAAATGGTTGATAAAAAGAACCAAGGACAACACATAAAATATATATAGAACTTGGACAACCAACATATACACCATAAGACTACTCTTCAAAGTTTAAGCGACCAAATTTGTATAGAGATTGGTAGTACAAATTATTTATGAAGGTGGAACTGCACATATTTTGTCAGTCCTTTTTACGGGAAAATTCAACATTCTACATACAATTGAAGCCTAAAGAGGGGCATCAAACACATACAACTTGTTTTACTATCGTCGGTTACTACAAAGGCCAAACGATTTCAACATATATTGTCAATAAGACCAATTTATGTTGAGGTTTAATAATGTCAATACTCCCGCATCGTCAACTATGACAACAGAGTTGCGATTCTTCGATGATTGTTCGAGTCTTCAGTGCGCTTGAATAACATAGACAATTTATCGAAACCATAGTTACCAATTCTAAATTCATAAAAAGCGGGTTACCAGAGACGATATTTCTAAAAAAAATCAACTGAAATAGAAAGCTAAAGATATAACCTAATAGAAAAGTGCTGCGCGCTTGTTGAATATGAAACTGTAATCACAATAGGAACGAAACTGTGTACAAATTTAACGTTATATGCTGCCGGGTAAACTAAGAATATTATTTTTATTTAATATGTTAACTTCTGGAAAATCGCGCAGCACTTTTAATTAACGGAAAAGCACAAGGATTCGTTTAAAAAAAAGTTTGTTGATTTTTATTCAGTGTAGTAACCCGTTTTTTGCCAATTTAGTTAAGGCATTTTACCCCTGTAGAAGTCACGTGATCTAGGCGATCATGACCAAAATGTCGGTTTACTGAATCCTTACTACACGAATATATAAATTCAACAACTAAGATTCCTGAATTTTGGTTTAAACAATTTTATTCTTGATATATCATATTTTTGCCACTATTTACGTTTCAAAGTTCCTTAACCTACCTGCGTGAAAAATTAACAAGAAAGAGACAAATTAATTTAAAGATATATCAATGTGTTTAACATTTCCGTATCAGGCTTATCTGATCAGATGTATATAAAATGATCTTTTGGAGAGTCGACTCTGCAGACAGATAGATATTGTTATAGGGAAAGTGCAAGTTATGTATTAATGTATTAAAAGAAAAGCACATATGATGAAAATGAAATCAACATTTTGCTATCGACCTTTTCTTCTTATCAGCATTTAAAGTCAAACATTGTGAATTTTTAGTACCCAAGACGTCCTCTTGTTTTACAAAAAAATATGTTTACTAAATTCGTTTTTTTTCTTCTGCCTTTTTCTTTCATGTATGCATGTGAATAATCAATGGTCTTTTTTATACTATCGTGGCCATAACCTATAGCATATGTTATAATATTTTTGTGAGAACAATAAGGTCAGTGCAATACTTTTTTGAAGTTGTATAGTTTAGAAATATGTACTAGATGACCTTAACATTTTAAAAATAATTGCAATAATTCAAAAGAACGAAAAGATATGGTTTACATAATAGATCCAAATTTTCAATTGGCAAGTCGTATTTGTTTACTAACTTTAATATCATAAAACTGTCAATATAATATACAAACACGAATTGAATTCTGAAATTGTGACTATCTAATTTGTTCAACTTAAAGCAAAGTGCCGATGCCTTCTTTATACAAGTGAAAGGTGGAATTTTAAGTCCGCAATGCTCTTCAATTTCACACTTAATTTGGAAGTTTAAACGTTTTTTATTAGAGTGTCACTGATGAGTCTTTTGTAGACAAAACGAACGTCTGGTGTACAAAATCTTAATCCCGGTATCTGCGATGAGTTAATTATTCCCCCAAGATTTTGAAGATGTGTACCTTATTTTGAAATTAAGTATGAAATTATTAAATCAAAGATGAAGCAGCCGCAGACTTAATGTAAATTTCCATAAAAAAAAATTAAAATGTATGTTATACGTTCAGTATTTAAACTTTCTAATTTAGTTATAGAGAAGGCGCAGTCTTAAAAGCTATGAAATGAGATCAGTCGTGCCGACGGCAAATATATTTCCAGGAAAAGACACATATCTTGACTTTCAATAACTTAAAATAAATTAACATTTAATATTAAAAAGATGGACAAACTCTATAATTTGGAAATAATGTAACTGTCCTTCCATATGTTTTTCTTGTAGCCCATAACTATTAGGTAAAAGATATCAGATGAAACTAAACAGTACAAATGTTGATACTAGAATTTGATGTCTGGTATTTGATACAAGACAGGGTGCGATAAGGGCCTTATTTCGCCTATTCTTTTAAAAAAAATTTATATAAGTTTCCAGTTTTTCAAGTTGAGAAAATGTAAAATTAAAAACTGTTTTTAAAGTTGAGAAAATGCAAAAATTAGAAACGAGTAGTTATCAATCTAAAACTTTGCAACAAATGAAAATTTGACGTCACGAAAAATTCTGCTCTTAGAGTTTGTGAAAAAAATAATAATACTTTTAAACTGAGTGATATTAATTATATTAGTAATATTATGAAACTTGAGACATGCACATTTTGATAATTGAATGCAATGAAAGGATATTGTACAGTCATTGAAAGACTACGCGTAAAATACAGCTGAAACTAACCGTTCTTTAGAGTACTGATTTTTCATGACAATAGAATGCTTTGTCATAAAGCTTCACTGCTCAGGAAAATTGAAAAAAAAATCGCCACAATTTGATTTTAACTTAAGGATGTTTGCTTCCCTGTTTCAAAATAACAAGTTTTTTTTTAAGACTGTTATAAATTGATAGTATATAAATAACGAAATTTAAAAAATAGAAAAATAGGTCCGTGTCCTCGTTTTTGAGATATAATCATTTGAAAATTTGGCGGGAAATGATTCTCTCTAGATTTCTTATACATTTAACATTTGCACCCTTTTTCTTTCAAAAACTACGAAAAAATATATAACAAGGATTTTAAAAGATTTTCAAATATGGTTTTTTCAGCTATATTCAATGAAATTATAAATTAAAATTTTTTATTGTCTCTACATGGATAAAACTAGAGGTTTCTGAATATCTGACATAAGGTAAAAAAAATGAGTAGCGAACATCCTTTATGGATGTAGACAGGACAATAGGACCACACAGGTTGATTGGTATACATAGTATATTACACCCGAAACAATATAAATCACCTGATGAAAAGATGATCACTTTGTTTCTTTTTGTGTTACAAATTCATGATCAGCCATACCTGTACTTGGAACTTCTCTTAAGGCAGTAAATGATGAAACTGTCGTAGTTTCCGAAACTGAAAATAGTAATTTATGAATATTTTTTAAAGTTATTTCCACATAATTAGCAAAGAGAGGCGAAAGATATCAAAGGGACGATATGTAAAATAAAAGAACAAAATTATATACGAGCCATGTTAGATGTTACCCTATATGACATATATTCATCCTTTACATACACAAACAGAGACAATCAGAAGATTCATCATTGTAATATAGTCATAAATTGTATAAAGGTATTACACATTAAGAAATATGAGAATCGTTGGAAAGTGTTATTTCATGAAACTTACATACAGAGATATGACTTAAAATCTACCCAAATCACTAAAAAGTCATGTGTTATTTCCGTTAATGAATTAAGAACTAAACACAAATTTTTAGTATCTGGGCACAGATGCGCAATTCGTTTCAGGTAGGCGGTAATGGTAGCCCTTTTCCTCAATTCCTCTGCTCATATCGTAAACTTGGATATGTACGATGGCTCGTTTCGAAGCTTAGATATTTTCACAAGTGTGGTTAATTTTTCGGCGTACGGAGTGAGATTCGTTTTTCCTTAATTTAGCACACCCTAAAAATTCTTTTGTGATGTGGATCCTTAAGGTAAAAAAATCCCTTTTTCACACAATAAGTTCTATGAAAATTTAGTTCTTTGCATACATTTAATAGCTCCATAGTTTTTACACCTTTATTTTATGGTCCTCTGTTCTCCAAATCAGAACAAATGAGTAAGCTCAGTCTTTTGTTAAAATTTGAAACATGTCCAACATCACTACACAGAGATTTTTTGTTTCCGCACAACGTTTTTGTTCCTCAATGTGAGATGCATTAGGGATATTGACCCATCTGGTGTTTCAATTCAAGATAAAGCATGATATGGAGAAAAATATAACGAATGTTACAATAAAAGATACTCCGTGCAAGCTCAGTGATACTTATCTATTTACTCTGGGTCACATGATAAAAGAGAATGAGCTTTTTTGCGGATGAACAAGCACGCCAACAATGCGGTGAATACACTAATCAGATATTGGAGGGTTGACGTTTTAACAAAGATGATGACGAAGTTTCTTTGCACGTAGATGTCCGCAAATTTTGACACAAAAAAAAAAAAAAAAACAAACGGGAACAATACACGGGACACGTGAAATGTAAATGTGATTTTAGTTACTTCAAATGCAAAACGAATCGGAAAACTTTCAGAGAAAACTTTAAGTGCATCTTTGTCTTGAACCTCTCTTGAGAACATGAAAAAACATAGAACTTTCTGATTCCTATACTGACAGAAACAAAATAGAAAGGTTCGTCATATTTGTACATACCAATTATGTATCCCGTATCAAATGTGACTATTATATTGTTATTAAACAATGTAACTAATGGCAGTAACCAAAATCAAATAACACTATCCTGATTCTGAAATAGGTGTCTATAAAATAATTCACAGAAATGGAAAGAGTTCAAACGTTGCAAAATTAATATAACTGCAAACTGTTCAAATATTTTTGGCAGTGACCACCTTCATTACAAAAGGCAGGCATACTTGAAATTGTGCAGGTATGCGAAATTTTTGAGTAACTTAGAGCTCAATTTCTTTTGTACTAATTATGATATTTATTTATTTTATAGATATTCTGTTAAGCCAGTGTATTTAGTGGGCGTGCAGTGAATCCGATAATGTTTTTTTCTGGACAGTAAAGGATTTTTTGGTTTCTTAGATTATTACTAGTACACATAAATTAATATAATGATATAGACTCCGTGTCGGACAAAATAAGTTATATGTTTTAATATTTTATGATAGAGAATACAGTTTGGGGTTGTAGTAGGTTTTAGACAGATATAAGAATTACGTACATACACATTTGATATTCGTTTGAACAAGTGAATGTAGAAGATAACTGATCAGTACGCGGATCTAAAAGGGTTTGTCAAGCTTAGATATTTAAATGATCCACATAAAGTTTTACGGAATATTAATTATTGAATATGTAGAAAATGAGGATATTGAAGGATTATCTATATTTCTAGACATGCAAAACTTTCGATACAGTTGAACGTGAATGGATTATTTAGACTATGAAGGGTTTATATTCTAGTGATACTGCTTGTAGTTGGAGAAAATATTCCTGTTTAAAATGCAAATACTTCTTTAAAATAATTGGTTTCCTTTTCAATAAGACAATGATGCCCTGTAGCACCCTTTTCATTCATAATACAAGCAGAACCAATGCTTTGTGTTATTGTGTAAAAATACCTACGGAAAACCATTAATGATTGCAGATGATACAAGACTTATAAAAATAGGAACGAACAATCGACCGGAAAAGCCTTTGAAATATTGGAAAAATGTGTAAAAGCCTCCAGTTACAAAATTAACCTCGATAAAAGAAAAGGTGTATCTTTTTAAGGCAAAAGGAAAAAAAAAAAACAATAAGGTTACAAAAATATCTCGGATCAAGGCTTACACAAAGGCTTCAAGGGTGCACCATATTTATAACATTGATTTTAAAAAACTGTTTTCTCTTTTATGGAATACAACAAATTTTACGTAGGTAAAGTATTGATCATATAAAAACAACTTAGGCTGTTGGTTTTCTCAATTGAATTGTTTCATATTTTTCAAATCGGGTCCTTTTATTGCCAACTATATGGTATTGATTTTTCTCATTGTTGAAGGCCGTACGGTTGCCTATAATTGCTTACATCCACTTTATTTAAACTTTTGTGGATAGTTATCTCATTGGCAGTCATACCTCATCTTCCTATTTTTATTAGACTTATTTTGGGATACCCTGTTGAAATGAAATGTAAACATACCATGAAGGTGAAAGAGAAATAAACATGGATTCTTCAAAAAAGGATGAATTTGTGTACAAGTTATTTAAACATCTCTATCACTGTGCTGAACATTACATTTGACTAGCATAAGAAATCTGCATCTCAAGGAACATAAATGCATATGGAAATAGTTTATGCTGTATAGTTTGAGTTTCTTTGAAAAAAATTGACATCTCCATCAATTTCGCAATATATTAAGACCATAAGATATTCATAAGAATTTTACCGTTCTAAATCCTTTCAAGTCGATTAAGATAATCTTCTACTGACGCAAAGTTTCCACTTTCTGTCTTATCAAATTCAATATTATATAACTAAAGTACTATATTTCTATATGTACAAAACAATATCTTTGTGACAGTAAATGTTTTATAAATTTGGTTTTGTTTAATTTCAGAGTGCAATAAACATGATAAAACAGTTTTAATCGTTGGAATCAATGGTCTTCAATTTTGATTAACAACAATAACATTAGGTTCAAGTGATATACAATCATATTGTCAAGAGTCGTATCATGTTTTGATTCTTCCAAAAAAAAACCAACTGAAGATTTTGGCTTTTATACATACGGAAATAATCAATTCGATTGTGATTATTAATCAGAATGTCATAGGTTAAATGCGACGATATTGTTAGCGAAAAGACGTCACGTATCTGTGTATATATGATTTATATGCATGTACTTGTTCATATTCATACTTAGTGCAGGCAAAGATATACCTATGAAATCATAAATGCAACCACCGTTGTGATAACTTACACAAGTCATGTACAAAACAGAATTTAATGTAAAAATCCTAGAAAAAATTTGATGCACAGATTATCGCTATTAACAGATATTGTATAAGGAAATATGCAATTAAATATTAAATTGATTCATTCAAATAATAATGTATTAACACGCAAATATATTTTCGGAGTCATATTTTTCTTTCTCAAGAGGAAGAAAGTTTTTTCCTTTAATTTTATACGAGCAGACGGTTTTGGGTCAATTGATAAATATACTGTTTGTCATTACTTAGGCGTAGTTCAATTAAGAATTAGGAAAAACGTTGCCATATTATGTAGGGTAAAGAAATATACCTGTATACTAGTATGCAATTTATATAATTTTGAATTGATATTTTATGTAAAAATATATATCAAATATTTTCAGTGCGAACTTTTTATTTCATTGTGACTCATTTAACTAGTTGAATAACAACACGAGGCCACAGCCAGAACCCAAACATGCTCAATGTAAAGATACAAAGTGATTAAAATATACCGCCTTCTAAAGATAATTGTTTACATAATACATCATGATATATGTCTTTTTAATTCAATTAATAAACTTTTGAAACTGTTGACATACAAATGATGATAATTGAACACAATGAAAGAATACGTTACAGTCATTCAAGGTATTACAGGTAAAATAACTCTGAAACTAACCGTTCTTTATAATGCCCCTTTTTGTATGACAATAGCGCACTTGGTCATGAGGCTACACTGCCTAAACAAGAGAATAAAAAAAAAAAAAAAAAAAAAAATCGCCACAATTCGATTTAAACTTGAATGAGATAGACAGGATAATGGTACCACACAGGTTACTTTGTAACGAAAAAAGTATATTACATTGGAAACAATATAAACCACTTAATGGAATGAGGATCACTGTTGTTTCTTTTTATGTAACGTATTCCGCCATACCTGTAGTGGGGTCATCTTAAGAGGTAGTAAATAGTGAAACTGTCGTGAATTCGAAAGCTGGAAATAGTTATTTGATGAATATTTCATTTCAATTATCTCTACATAATTTACAAAAAAAGCTTGTTTATGCTAGATTTTCTCCAGTATGACATATACTTATCAGTCTCTTACACAAACTGAAACAATCGCACTAGTTTTTTCATTACAATTAAGTCATAAATTGTATAAAAGTATTACGCATTAAAAACTATCAAAATTGTTGGAGCATATGGAAAGTGTAATTCCACGAAATGACATAAACTATTTCCAAATCAGCGAAAAATCATGAGTTATTAACGTTAATGAATTGAATATCAAACATGTTAAACACAAACGTTTGGTATCTGGTGTTTCAATTCGAAATAGGGTAGTTATTTTGTATGTTGTGGAGAAAAATACAACAAATGTTACAATTAAAAATGCTCCGTGCGAGCTCAGTGATATGCACATTATTAATTAAAGTCATATCGCCTAGATTTAAACATGTTTGAAATATAGAAACAATAACTTTTTATAATAATCATTTGTTATGTCCCTGGCAAATGATATATGTAAAACAAAAGCAAGGACCATTCTGTCAGCTGCCCTGGACTGCTTAGGATTGATGTATTCTAGGCAATTTCAAATAAAAGATGTTAATTTAAACAAAATAAAACAAAATTACATGAATAAATGCAAATATTAAATCCAGTCGTATACTTAACCTAACAATTTTCCACTAACGATTTTTCCAATAGTGATTGAAAGTAATGAAAGAATAATTGTCAGTTACTGCTAAGCTGAAACTGTTAACAAATTCAAATATCTTGCTCGTCAAGACAATGTCGTGTCTTGTCACGCAGCTTAAACAAATAACATATGCAGACTTAAAAATGAATGGCAAAATAATTTATCTTACAACGCTACCATTCAATTTGTAATCAATGTGGACAGTATGCAAAGCTAGACTGGAATGTATAAATAATTTGATGTAATATACGTTACTTGAAAATAGAACACTGTTGGTTCTTTTTATGCTTTTATTCTGCCCTACCTGCACTCGAATATCCTATTGAGGTAATATCTGACGAGACATTAGGAGTGTCTTCTTCTGAAAACAAATATTTTATTTTGTATATTGTTTTAAGTTATCTCTATATACATGATACTTAGAAAAAACATGTATCTAAATATACGACGAAATTGTTATCATCTTTTGGTAAACACTAAACTATTCTACATGTTATACATTTAAAAATCTTGTCGAGATGTTGGCTTTTTCCTAATATTTCCTTTTTGATAAAATATGTATTAATAAAAAAAAATTGCTTGCATGCAGTTTAGAAACATTGATTTTTAAAGGAGTTGAAACTTAAGTTTCTTCATAATTTCTCAATGAAACGTTTTAGAAAAGCAGGTTATAAATCATGTCAGTAGCCAATCACTAGATACTTGCCGATAATATTCTCTTACAGAACACCACCAGGAGTATCCACCCAACACCAGACAATGGATATAACACTTTGGGCACTCGGGGCGCTTCTATTGATTAACCGTCAACCGAAACGCTAACAACCAACGTTGTAAAAGTAAGGGATGAAGAAAAGGATCTACATTTGATAAGCACTACATACAAATTCGTACGGCGAATAACAATGTTAAAACACACATGAATCGAATGGATTTCACAATAAAGCAAGATAATTGTGTGAATAATAAGTTCATTTCGTAAATCTTTGCATTAGATGGAAAAGTTTATTCATACATCCTGCACACCCAAAATGAAAAACCTTCTAAGAATGAGTTTTATTACAGACGGCAGAAGTCAATTAGACCATATTGCTTTATCCTCGGTGCTTATAATCTATCGGATAATCATAAGGAATTAAACTGCATAATATAAAAGAATGGTTGTGTCTCTTTGTTGTATTGTTATAATGTGACATTTATGTGCGGTTCTGACTATGGTTATTACTTGTATTTACAGTTGAATGATTGTCTAAACATGAACAATTACAATAATAAATCAATATTTTGTTTTGAAACAGGGATTGGATTAATGAGGTAAACCGTATATATCTATTTTGGGAATTTTTACGTTTTTCTCACATTGTATCATGTTTAATATAATAAAGACTAACACGTAACCATAGTGGTCGATACGTGAATTGGTTTTAATTTCCTATTACTCGAAAATACCTGCCACTTTAATGTTTTCTCACCTTTACATGTATGATGTATCCGAATTTCGTACAACCGAAAACATTCTGGATGAGAACTAACATCAGTTGAAAGATTAATCCAACACTTTTGTGAATCTGTACGGTTTTTACATTCATTCAGAAGGTGGGATTTTGTCTGATAATATATGCTAGAACAATAATCATCCGTCTTTTCTGGGTTAAATAATAACTTAAAATTCGCTAAATCAAGATAGTCTTTGGAACAATAAGTCTCGGCATGCAGCCCATCGTTCAAATCAACACATATTTTCTGATGATCAATTAACCCTGTAAAGATATTTAAAAACTGAAAAACATTTCCTTCAAAACAAAAATTGACTTTAAATGCAAGCAATTACAATTAGTTAAATTGTGATTCCACCATCCACGTTTTCCTACTTCTTTTACTTTATGTAGATAATGTTTACCATTAATTTGGGTAAAAAAATAATAAATTTGTTTAAATCCAATCAATGTTTTATTTACATGTGTAGGTTGAACTTTTGTATTTAGATGCCTGTATTACATTTATGTGATAAATGTGAGAGAGTTTATGTTTAACTTTTAGAAACCCTAAAAAAATGATGTACTAAGTGTTATATGGTATTGAAAATTTTCTCACATTTTATTTTGGTAACTGAGGAATTGTGAATTGAATGAACGAATGGTCGAATGTATTCGAGTGAATACAATAACAACATAAACATTAATGTCGATCCGCTAAATGCAGAAGAGGTATAAAAATTATGATACATGTAACACACACAATTCACGCACTTAATGTGTTTTCTTTCTTCTCTTAAATAAATATCGTTTACGTTCACTTATAGCGTTAGTCTTTTACGTTTAAATAAAATGAAAACGTTCTTTGTAAAGTTCTCTGATATTGCAAGGAAACTATAATTGATCAATTATTTTACATACTTCAAGGATTTCTCATCTCTGGTGTGGTTTATGGAATGCGCTGATAATAGATGGGGAAGATTTAAATCTGTGTTTGACCACCACAAAACAATATTAAAAGGTGAGTTAGTAACTACTGTACTATGTAACTGCGACTTTAACGACTTTTAATTTTATTAATGGATAGCTTGTTGTATTGTCTGGTAAATTTTTCTTGAATCTACGTAAGAGCTGGGAATTTAATTAGTATACAATAAAAGAAGATGTGGTTTGATTGCTAATAGAGACATCTTTCCAACAAATATCAAATTACGTAGATGTATACATGACTGTTGCTAAAGGCCATATGTTGACGTTTGAATGTCTGTTGAGATTTTGTTGACGATTTGCTGTTGCATCGAAACCTACATGTTTGTTTATTCATTTTGAAAAAACAGTATCTTACGTGTTAAAGTTCCCTTTTTTGTCCTTGTATATTTTTAACCTTCACTGTTTATCAATTTTTGATTATATATGTATGACGTGGATCGGTACTTATACATCCCGCCATTGTGTTATTGTGCTATGGTCAATTTTGAGTTCTTGTCTTTCATTTTTGCTTATGTACTGTGTCTATAACCCATTTTGTGTTTCTTTGTTGAAACAGTTATTTGTTTTGATAGTGATAAAGAATATATTCTATATATATTGACTGCTGTACCCCAATTTTTGACGTTTTTACCTATTATGTCTGTTTGTTTTGCTCACACATTGTTGTCAATATAATGGAATTTCATGCGACTGTCATACAAGTGAGAGGTTTAACTAGCTATAAACCAGGTTTAATCCACCATTTTTGACATAAGAAAATGTCTGTACCAAGCCAGGAATATGAAAGTTGTTCTCCATTCATGAGATGTGTTTGAGGTTTGATTTTGCCATTTTTTAAAGGACTTTCCGTTTTGAATTTCCCATGGAGGTCGGTATTTTTGTTATTTTACTTTTTGTTTACTTGTTTTAATCACCAATTAATCAAACGCGCTTGAATTTATTAAAACTACACTTTGATTATAAAAATGTTACTTCATTCAAATAGTTAACCGTGCATGAATCAGAAGGTGTTTTACGTGCACATCAGCATATCTTTCCGCAATGATCTGATTTACCGAAACGACTTGTTGACTTTCACATTTGTTTTCTTTTAGGTTTTTATTTGACAGAAAACTGTATATGTATATTTTGAGGGGGCTCGGAACCAGATGTAGGTAGATTTTGTTCGATCAAGTGGGTTTTTCCTCCCTAGCCATGATTCACAAAGATAACTAATGTATATTGAAATAGTTGCTGTATTACTATCTTAATTTGTCGATTTGAACAAGTATGAAGTGTTCAAACACATCCTGTTTACTTTTTGTTGTCGTTTGGGAGGTTTATTTTTTTATTCAAATTCTCCTAAGCCCAATGATTATCCCTTTAAGTTTTGGATTACTATATGCAAAAAAAAAAACAACATTATGACAACTTTTATATATGAATGTAAAACCCAATAGCCTGATGACCTCCGTATTGTACATGTATAAAATAATGATTACATATACATAATAACCCCATGTCTTGTTCTTTGTCTATCACAATATTTTTTTTTTTGAAGTGATTTGCATTGCATTCAATTTTAGTTAACACAAAGTCTATTTAGAATTTGTCTTTTAGATTTCATAATTCATAATATAGGATAGAAAACTTCTGCAAATATAAGTAGATAACGATACATGCACGTTGCATATTAAACATTACTTTAGATACCTGAGCATGATCCTGGTAATAGCAATATATCGTCGACTGCAATATCAGATACTATGCCGCTTCCATATATGCCAACAAATTCAAAAGTTAAATATCCTTGAGAGTCTATGTCGACTTTAGCTAAATTCCAATTGTCACCTTTGTCTCCATTGTCTGACCAAATCACATTTTTATTAAGGGTCACATTTAACCTTCCAACGTCAGTTCCATACATATGATACCAAAATTTCAAACAAGACTCCTCGTTCACATTAACAGATGGACCTTGGCTATATGCAATATCACCATCGGATGCATTATAACTGTCCAAGTACATATAGTGACCATATACTAGAAGTAAATAAATACATCAATTAATCAAACATTTGACTAATGCTGAAGTTATCATTTTCTATAATACTACAATTATTATTGAAGCGGTCAGTCAATGTAGAACTCACAACTTTTTCGGAGTTTGTTTTTATTTCTTTAATGAAATATACCAATGTGTTTAATATTTTCAAACATTAAACTGCTGCAAATAAGGGCATCTTAAAATTTGATGAAAGTAAAGACGAAAACGCATAATCAGATTACAGTAAATGTTCGAACACTGTAAATTGTCAATAGGGCATATACTTTGTTTGCAGTAAATAATGTCAGATCAGCTTATATCTATATAAATAAAAAAGTATTACCAAAAATACCTAAATCCAATCTAAATTCAAAAAGGAGGAGGTCCATAAAAACTTACAAAATCAAACGTTAGACTATATTTATCAACGGAACTAATGAATGACAAGTGTCTGCCGGACATGGAACAGGCATTTATCGAAGAAAATGATGGTTAAACCTAGTTTCATAGCTAGCGAAACCTTCCCCTTGTATGACAGTTGTTTATACTTCCGTTATATTGACAAAATTATCATACTGACAGATACTTGAATTTCATATGATGAGGACATAATCTTTCAATCAGTTTAATTGAGGTCTGGAGCTGGCATGTCAGTAACTGCTAGTAGTCCTTTCTTGATTTATGTATCATTGTCATTATGCTTAGTTTCTTCTGTTACCTATTCTGACATCAGATTCGGACTTCTTTTAAACTGAGTTGTACTGTGCGTATTGCTGTGTGTTTGTTTATTCTACATTGGCTAGAGGTATATGGCGAGGGTTGAGATCTCACAAAACCTGTTTAACCCAGCCGTATTTTTGCGCCTGTCCCAAGTCAGGAGCCTCTGTCCTTTGTTAGTCTTGTATGTTTTTTTCAATTTTAGTTCATTCATGTTTCGGAGTCTAGTGTGTCGTCCATTTTCACTGAACTAGTACACATTTTTGTTTAGGGGCCATCTGAAGCCCGCCTCCGGGTGCGGGATTTTCTCGCTGTTTTGAAGAACCATTGTGGCCTAGGGCTGTTTTCTGCTTTATAGTCGGATTGTTGTCTCTTTGACACATTCCCCATTTCCATTCTCAATTTTACAATTGGTTAGCTATATGCAATATCACCATCGGAACCTTTCTAACTATCCAAGTACATATAGTGACCATATACTAACAAATGAATCCATTAATCAAACATTTGAATAATGTTGAAGTTGAAAATAAGAGTCAAACAAACATGCAGACTTCTTATACGTTCAGGTATTTCACATCCAATTTTTTATGGAAATATTCTTTATAAAGCACAAAAATGTCAGTATTCACCTCTGAAGCTAACAAAACCTTTAAATAGACTTATTAAGAAGGGAAATAGTTACGATACTGTTGTCAGGTCATTAAAGATTGCATATTTTGGCGTTAATATTGATTCACTTATAGGGTCTTTGCATCGGCACTAAACACATTTATTTAAAAACCAGTTGTTGGCATGACACGGGTTATGTTCTTCTCATATATGTTATGATGGTATGATACTAAACCCCTAACGGGAAGGATTGTGCCTGATATTCATATGATGACGACATAATCTTTCAATCAGTTTAATTGAAGTCTGGAGCTGGCATGTCAGTTAACTGCTAGTAGTCTGTTGTTATTTATGTATTATTGTCATTTTGTTTATTTTCTTTGGTTACATCTTCTGACATCAGACTCGGACTTCTCTTGAACTGAATTTTAATGTGCGTATTGTTATGCGTTTACTTTTCTACATTGGCTAGAGGTATAGGGGGAGGGTTGAGATCTCATAAACATGTTTAACCCCGCCGCATTTTTGCGCCTGTCCCAAGTCAGGAGCCTCTAGCCTTTGTTAGTCTTGTATTATTTTTAATTTTAGTTTCTTGTGTACAATTTGGAGTTTAGTATGGTGTTCATTATCACTGAACTAGTATATATATTTGTTTAGGGGCCAGCTGAAGGACGCTTCCGGGTGCGGGAATTTCTCGCTGCATTGACGACCTGTTGGTGACCTTCTGCTGTTGTCTGTTCTATAGTCGGGTTGTTGTCTCTTTGACACATTCCCCATTTCCATTCTCAATTTTATACATACAAATATGACAAAGACGCCGAATTATATACTGACATTAATTGTACTTACATTCTTTTAATTTATCCATGAATTAGATAATGTGTTCACAATATCTTTGTAATAGAACAATTAAACTAATTTAACAAAGCCTCATATTTAACAGATTAAATGTAACACATATGTTATAACACTGTTACAGGGCTTTGTTGACGAAATAAACTACAAATTATCAGGTGTTACAGTTCATCAGCTCTCCGTTTATTATTTAAATCTGAGCATACAACTTATGCTATAAACGTAGACACAAAAGAAGAAAAAGGTCACTGAAAAACACGTGTTCTCGATATAGGTGTAATACCACCATTGATTTTCCCCTATTAGTCTTTGTTAAATTTGCACTTTTTAAAAAAAATTGCAGAATTTATTTTTGTTTCAAATAAAGAAATACTTGGCATGAGTAAAGTTTTATCCTGTCCAGTACTATAGACAAAATTTCACATAACATTTCATTGCATATAAGAAAATAACTATCACTGGAAGTTAACCAATCAGATTTTCACCCTTTTTTTTCCTATTTACAAGCTTTAGTAACCATGTTACCTCAAGTTTTCAAAATATTCTATAAAAACACCAAATAAAAAAAATAATGGAGATTAACAAATTTTGTTTGTTTGATAGAAATATTTCTTTTTGTTTGATCATATATTTTTTATCTTTTTTTTGCAGTTTTTCTTTGTTTTTAGATTATACATTTTTATTTAATCTTTTAATATCTATTATCTTATTTTCATTATTATTTGATTTTAATATAAGATAAACACATGATTGGTTGTTTATTTCAAGTGTGGATACATATCAAGGAGCACATCGTGGGTGAGTGCACCCTTTAATGTTTCTGTAGTGTTGTTTTTAGTTATGTCAAAGGATAATTTGCACCAATCTTTAATGGTTTGACAAAAGAAGAACGAAAATTGAAAATTTGTAGCTGTCTTTATTACATTGAATTTGTCTGTATGAGTCTTTATGGATGGATTTTGTAATAGACCGACTCTGATGTTATTAATTTTGTGATGGAATGGCAATATTTTCATTTGTGAAACATTATTAGCCTTGTTCTTATAGTCGGCGTTCTTGTAATGTTTGCCATTTATGGGTTACGATGTCTGTTACACGCATACCTTGCCGCCCGTCTATGTACTTTTTTTAGCGATCATATGTTTTCATATGTATATAGGTCCCATACAGTACAACAGTATTCCAGATTGGGTCTTATGAGTATTTGATATGTATTAAAAATTGATAGGATTCTCTTGGTGTTTATGTTCATGATGTAACACTTGTCTTGTTGGTAAGACATAAGCCAGCCTTGTTCCCTTTTTATGGAAGCTTCTAGATCTCGTTGAAGCATGAGGCAGTCGTTCTGAGATTTGATTTGTCGGTAGATTATACTGTCATCTGCGAAGAGTCTGATTCGGCTACGTTGAATGTATTCTTGAAGGTCATATATGTAAATTAGGAATAGTATTGGTCTTAGCACTGTACCCTGTGCGATACCTGTTGTGACTGGGTTTTTTTTTAAGAGGAACTGTTAGAGTTCAATTTGAAAGAAAGAATTCAACCCAGTTTTTGATTTGTTCTGATATGCCAAAGTATTTCATTTTGCATAAATATCTTTTGTGTGGTACATTGTCGAAAGCTTAAGCAAAATTCATTATTCGCTGTAATAAGATCTGTTTGTATGTTTTTGTCATTGTTTTGCGATAATTTATGTATCAGAGAGATTATTTGGGACCGACATGATCGGTTTGCCCTAAATCCAATTTGTAATTCATAAAGTGTGTTATTGGTTTTGAAGTAATGCACCATGCTGCATGAAAAATATGTTCGAGTAATTTGCAATGTCTGCATGTTAAAGATATAGGTCTGTAGTTATCTGGTTTGTGTTTATCCTCTTTTTTTGAATACAGATATGACGTTTGCGTGGTTCCAGTCAGATGGTAATTTGCCTGTTTCTAATGATCTTGTAAATATAAGAGTGAGGATGTCGGTACTTATTTCAATGTTTTGTTTTAGTACTCTGACTGCGATTGTGTCAGGACCAGTAGCTTTGTTAGATGTTTTTGTTGTTGATTAATTTGTAAACACCATTCCTAGATATTATAATAAGTTCCATTTTGGGATGAATACTAGGATCTTTATCTGGGATATTAGTGTTTGCTTCAAATGTAAAGGCAGACTATAATTGTTTGTTAAGTATTGTGTCAGATCCAGTAGCTTTGTTAGTGTTTTTGTTGTTGATTAGATTGTAAACACCATTCCTAGATATTATAATAAGTTCCATTTTTGGGATGAATACTAGGATCTTTATCTGGGATGTAAGTGTTTGCTTCAAATGTCAAGGCAGACTAAAATTGTTTGTTAAGTATGTTTGCTTTCTCAGTTGGACTTGAGTGCAATGTACTTTCACTTCGCAGAGGAGATAGCCCGGTGTTTTCATTTTATCTGACTTTTAATGTGAGAAAAGAGTTTGTTTTAGGTTGTAGTAGAAATTGAAAGTTTGTCTCTATTCACTCAGAGGACTGAATGGTAAATTTGTTTCAACTTATTAATGACCTTTGTCAACAGTAAATCAGATAAATGTGGCAGGACACATTAATTATTGATAGATAAAAAAAGTACCAGTCAAAATAATGCATATTTTTTTTCATCTTTGGATATTTAGTAAGCATTACCATGTCAGCTAGTGACACGAACATTATGTGAGCTAACAGCTGAACCGGAACAAAATCGAAACTTAATCTGTAAATTGTTTTGATATGACTAACACATATTCTATTTATTGATTCTTAAAACCCACCTTGAATCTTTAATGGTTTATAGAAAATGAAAGGATTTGGAGTAAATGTACATGGGACAAAATCGCACACAATACACAGAAAACATAGAAAATTATCAATGAACAGGGCTTTTATTCCTGTTTTTACCAATTTTAAAAAGGTAATTACGGGAAGACACGAAAAAATAATTCAATCTATTTTATATTCAAGAACTTACGCAAAAAATGTTCAACCAGAATATATTAAATGATTCAGAAATCACAAGAATAAGTGTATTAATCAATTTGATGTGTCCAAGGGTCACTGCTTTTGCGTAAATCTTTAAATATAAAAAAACGTAAAGCACACAAGCAGACAAGAGATAAACAATATGGCAGAAACGGATATTGCGTCGGCGGAATAATTTGACGAAGTTTCGGGAATGTTGCTAAAATATTTTGTTCAATATTGATAAAAGGGTCGTTGTACTTATGTAAGAAATATTGTCACTATCATATCGCAAATTCTAGTAATATAATCGACTGCTCAGTCCAATACATGTATTTTTCATTATTAGTGCCATAACTATCCATAATATTGTTTTCAAGAATTATAGAGGTAATTGAAAGATATCTGTAATCAAGCTCAATTTTTAGAAATGATAGAAACCACTGCATTCAAAGCAACGCCAAAAGACATGATCTCGTTTAATGTCATTATCAGATTTGTAGACAGAATTTCTATTCCAAAGACAAAATAATTAATTAGTTTAGCAAGCCATATTACATTTATGAATCATTTTTCATATCGCATATCGATATTTATTTTAAAAAAGAACACATGCTCGATTCTGCATAAGCATACGCAATTAAATGCATATATGTTGGAATAAGAACTTTACGTTTATAAATGGAAGATAAGTTTTGTTTGTTCGTATAAGTAAGTGGGCAGCAATTTATTACATGATATCTTTGTTTCCCTCATCATGTTCATGTTCAATAACAATTGTATTTTATTAGCTTTATGATTATCAGATTTCAAGGGTTTTTTTTGTAAAATTTAATACATGTATCGCACAAAATAATATACAACAAATAGACAGAAACAAAACTTTAATTAAATAAAATCTTTAGGTACCAACCAGATCCTGTTGTATGGTCTGTTTTTGGGCCAGTATCGCTGTATAAAGATTCACCTTTTTGTCGAAACCATGAGTAGGTCCCTTCAATAGTCGATATCGTATTGGCATAGCATGCATTGCTTTCAAAGCTACATTCTTGCAAACTATCTAATATAATATCAAAATAGTTGTTTATTATGAGCAGAATTCTTCTATCAGTAATGAAATAACCTGTTTTACAATATAACATGAATATAAAAAAAAAGATAATTTCTTTTTTTCTTTTTAAATTACATTTTTAACAATACAATGGAATCGCTGAATCTTACCGGGGTACTGTCCAAATTTATAATACATAACTATTGCCATATTCACCATTCGCCCCAAACTCCGAAACATTCTTTTATGTCCCTGATGAAATGTTTATCATTTGTAATTATATAATTAAAAAATAACACGCTTAGTATTACATATTACAAATATTTAAGGTTCGAGCATCAAAAAAGATATATGAATAGTCGTAATGCGAACCTTGTGAATTAAAAGTGGCAGCGATACCTCATCTGGTGTACTGTTAGGCACTGATAACATTGACAACCCAGTATCCAGTACGTTGATACTGGCATGAAATTATGGATACTGTCCTTTTTTTTTTTTTTTATTGATTTGCTGTTAAATGATTTGGAAAACATTTTTTTAATCAAGGAAATCTATTTATATCAAGCATGCATGATTCCTTAACGGTTCGGTCTTTTTTTTTTTTTTATCATCTCTTCAACTGTTGTATTATATTTTAAATAATTAGATATGTTTACTTCTCTTGCAGTAGTGTGCTTTTAACACTTGGCGAATTTTACGGTTTATTTGCATATCTTTAGCATTTTAAGTTATATATGTTCAAGAAGTTAAAAGGTTTCAGTTATCATTAAAGTAGAGAACTCTTAACATGTTTGTAGTATACATACTACGATGTATAATCAATATTGGTTGAATAGTGTTAACTGGTATACTATAGAAAAGCACTAGATATATTTTTTATAGTCACCTGTACATGCTCTGTTTGCGAGTAAGATATCATCTATTGCAAGAGCGCCATCAGTTTTCCTTTTTCTTTTGATTACTTTAAATGTTATTGTATATAAAGGCATTTCTTGCGATGTAGTCTCATTTACGGGTATTTTGGCATAATGCCATTTTTGTTCGCTTGGTCTGGTAACATTGCCAATTATCTGCTTATTCCAAAATACTTCCAAAGAATGTTCTGTATCCCATATGTAATACCAAAACGAAAGACATTGTTCTGTCGAAGATACTATTTTTTCTAAATATAATTGAGCAATACCTTGTTTATTTGAATTTTTCGAATAAATATAGGCAAATGAACCATCTGAAGCTGAAAATAAAGTAGTTCAATAATGTATGTTCTTCATTTAACCTTACATCTTCGCTAGCCAAGGGCTACGATCCAGTCCCCTCCTCTCCACCCTTGACAGATTAAGCCAGATTTTGTGATCCACTATATCTATTGGTCGCAGTCGTAACTCATCCAATCAAAACGCGCCTAAAAATAAAAGTGAAGAGGAGGGGACTGAATCGTAACCATTGGCTAGCGGAGATATGTATTCACAAAATCTGGCTTAATCTGCCAAGGGTAGAGAGGAGGGGACTGAATATAATAATAAATAGCAAATATGATAACCTTAAAGCTTGTATTTTTTAGTTTTGTTTTCATAAACTTTGCAGTGTTTACAAGTTACTTATTGATCAATATCGAATAACAAAAAGTTTCACTATCTTACGGTAGCATCTTAGTTTCATACTTAAATATATTTTTGTGTAAAATCTAAATACGATGTCGTTAAAACGACCCGCTATTCAAAACTGACTCCATTGGTATGTCATCATCAAAATTATTACATACTCTTTTTTTTTGGTGGTAGGACTAATCGGCTTCCATATTAAGCAAACTTATTAGTTATATATAGCTAAATTGTGCATAACATTAGTATACGGTAATTGAACGGAGTAAAAATGTTAATGTGAATGTGTGTTGTGTTGCGAAGGGTCAGGGATTTACACCGATCGAGAATGTATAATAGTTTTTTTGACACGCATTTTAAATGTTGATAATCCTTTCAACAAAAATTGGGAGATTTACAACTTTGACAAAAAAAAAAAAAAAAAAAACAGTCAATAAAACACTATATACACAAAAAGAAAGAGTTCTGATTATATTCTGTATGCCAGAAAAGTTTCCGTTTGTTTTTGAGACAGTTACTTTCAACCTTACATACAAAAATCTGATACATATTTTGAATGATTTGAAAAGATGTTGTTTTTCCTATCAAGATTTCATTGATAGAGGGTTGCTAATCACATGGAAGTTCCAAGTGGTGAAGTTGAAATCATCCCTTAGTAGTTTTTACGGACGCCATCAGGAGTTGGTTGACCGTTATGGAATATCTGTTTACTCCGGAGCCGTCCCCTTTTCCACGATTGTGACCTATCGAACTAGACTTATCACCCGCTGGTTTGTACTGACATGAGCAACATGACGGGTGCAACATGTAGAGAAGGATCTGCTTACCTTTCCGGAGCACCTGAGATCACTCGCAGTTTTTGTTGGGGTTCGTGTTTCTCAGTCTATAGTTTTTTATGTTGTGTTTTGTGTACTGATGTTTGTTGATCTTTTTCTTTTTTAGTCATGGCGTTGTCAGTTTATTTTCGACCTCTGAGATTGAATATCCCTTTGATATCTTTTGCCTCGCTTTTATAATAATTGGTTTTATAGATAATTTCAAAGTTGATATTTGTTAAGAATACGGTGGATTTCAATTACAAGACGTATTTACTGATTACTTTATGTTTCGTTGCAGTTGAACAATCGATAAATTTCTTGATTTGTTTCATTCACAACTTCTTACAATGATGTCATACAACACTCAACATTAAAACTAAGGATTTAACAACCCTTAACCAATCAAATTTAGGAGTGAACTCAGAAGCTCTTGATAGTAAGCAGTTGCTGCTACAAAAGACTCAAATATCGTTTTACACAAGTCACTTAAATCATCCACCAAAATCAACCGAAATTGATGGATGGATGAAATGTTTTCTCACTCAAATTAAAATAAACCGGACTTATAGCGTTTGTTAAAACTCACAAAAAGATGACTCTAATTTTACAAATAAAAAAGCACAAAGAAAAACACGTAAAATTACAACAAGAGTAAAACAAACCCTTTTTACCAAACTAGGGGTGGTCTCCTGGAAGGGTAGACAGAACCTGCTCCTCAGGTGGCACCCCTTGTATTGTTTATGTTAATACAAACTCGATGATAATTATTATGCCAAGTTCATATTTCATTGTAATCATGCATGGGATACTCAGGTTATTTTCCGGAAGCCAAATGTTTCGGGCTTACGGACGGACACTAGAACGGACAAAGGGACAACTATATGCACCTATATGTTTTCCTAGAGCACAAAAAAAGAAAATCCTCATTAAGATAATTTCCAAAATTTACTTACTTAAACCATTTTATGTCATTCGAATAAACACAACAGCTAGACAAAAGGACCACATTACAAAACCAAGAATTGTTTTTAAAAGTAGGACTTCAATGGCTATTTTCTCAACACCGTTTGTATTCTATAAAAATAATTTACAGTAAACCAATATACTCACAGGCAGTGGTGTGGTCTCTAGGAGGAATTATGTTGTAACCGTTCTGCTGTTCCCTTTCCCATCGAAATCTGTCTGTATTAGTGGTATAATGTAACCAGCCGCACCAATCTGTATCAAAGTTACAGGACATCGCATTTGCTGTGAGAGCAAAATTTGTGATATTACACGTTTTTCGGACATTTTCTTTATCATTTTTAATAGAAATCAAGTCTCAGCTTGGTGATATAAAGAACAATTTGAATTATGTGAAATGAATGTTATCACAAGAATAAACGAAATAGCATTTAATACCAGATTGATCTCGATCAGTGAAATTACAAATGGTAATTCAAAGATGGCGTGCAAAAATGGGAAAGGAAAAGCACTTCACTAGATAGAATCGGTATAAAAGATTACTATACAAAAAAAGCACAAGCAAAACAACAGTAAACAATTCAATTTGATACATGTAGAAGTGTGCTAGAAGTATCTTACTAAAATGACATACATGTAATCGGGAACGACGCTTTAATATCAATGGCTGACTTCACAGTAGATTTAATACATAAACTTCATTAACTGTTATATAAAAACAGTACATGAAGACAAGTTAATGTGCAATGCCTAGAATTCTCAGAATAATGTAATATCTTCATTTATATTAAACGATGTAGTTTTTGTAGTTAAACTTAATTATTTCTTTGCAAAACATTACATGGTTGAACACTACCTTTATATCTTTTTTTTAATATGTTTCTACTATGGTTTTTATCTTCTGTCGTATTACAGTCTACTAATCTGATTATGTCGTGCAATTATAGGAATGGTAAAATTGATATCTGTTGAAAGGGGGTGTTTGTTTAATTAATACGGGTAAAGTATTTGTTTTCATGTACAGAAATGCGTTATATTTCAATTGAAGAATGACGATCATTGTTGACAAATATATGGCGTTGACACACGTTGTAAGCTAGCTGCTTAAGCCTTACTTACTTGATTTGTTACATTTAGGCTGTTTTAATACGATTTTTACAGGCATTTGTTTTTAAATTTAAAACAATCCAAAAACGCAAACAAAAAAAGATTTAGAAATACAGGGAACACTGTAATCGTGTGTATTTGTTCGTAACATAGCTTAAGCTAAGTACACAATCATGACAATAGAAACCCAAATGAACATAAAATATACCGAAGCACTTCAATGTATATATGATTATAAGTTGTCTTACAAGCTGTTAAAACGAATTGTTGGAAGAGATTTACTGAATGTTTTCTTATTGTCTGGTTTTTACTAATTTTATTCTGATTACTTACAGATTAAAAAAGGGCAAATATATATCACAAACAGGCCATGGCCTGTTAAATACGCCTCGCCATACGGGATTGTGGATCGTTACATCCCTTTTTGTTTGGAAGTCTAATATCATGGCATTTCTACTATCATATACTATCATATATAATACATGCACATGTAGTATGAAGCACTTTTACTATTGACACAACCAATATGTTTTGGTTTGGTGGTTCCCTCGGGATTTTGTTTTATGTCTTGTTTGGGTTTAGACAAAATGGACTTGCGCGTTTCAAACATCGTATTCTTTTTTCACTGGTATTAACACACTTATTATAGTCTGTTTGAGTTCTATATATTTTTATTCTTCAAATATATGTTTTTGCTAAAATCGGAATTTTGAACGGCGTTGTTTATATTGCAGTGAATTTATTTCATTTCTGTATGCAAACTTTGACATTTAGTTTCTGAATTTTTGCGAGTGATTAAAAAATTAAACATAAGTTATTACAAATTTGCTAAAAAGGTAAATAAAAGGAAAAACGGAATACATTATAATTCTTGACAGCAACTGCCAGGATGGTCTGTTTACAATTCTATACACCAGTCTATGGAAAGAGCGAATCGAAAAAAAAACGTTTCTTATGTAGGGTAGCAAATTTTCTTTTGTAAACGATGCACTATGGGAAAATCGCAGGTCAATATCACATTTGTAAGAAGAATATTATTTAGTAAATTATTTTTTTTCCTTTTTAAAACTGAAAGGCATTTAACAGAACAAGCGTCTATATAACTTCCCATGAACTGTGCACATATAGTCCCAAGTATTTTGTATTTATACGAGACAATAGGCACATTTGTTTGAATGAAACCTATCTGTACGATCTATAATTTTGAAGTGTACAAATACTAAGACAATAAAGTAGCAAAGACAATGGAAAGCACTTTCAATGTGTGCGATTGCATTTTAAGCCGTTATCACGTGTAACAGATTGATAATGCTATACATTCCTATATGAGTGCGACATGTTTCTAATTGAATAGCAATATGTTTTATAATAAAAAAGACTTATTAATGCGATATTTTTTGTCATGTCAATCAATAGAGACAATATTGCAATTAAAGCAAACAAGAGACATCGGTATTTATTTGTGACAGTTAGGCAAATGTTTATCACTGACACTGACAT